TATTAATAGCTATATATGTATATAATTTATCAGCCGATGATAAAAACAAAATTCTGAAATGTTGTAAGAAACTATTAACAATGATTATCTCTGGAAAGTAGGTTTGTGGGTAGAGGGATACTTTTACATTCTATTTTATGCACTTTTATGTTGCTTTTACATTGGACATGCATTCCATTGTGCCATTTTTTAAGATTAATAAATAAATGTCCTATTGGTGCTAGTGGTGAAGAGTAGGGAAATGGCCAATGCAAGATAAAGTAAAGCACATGGGCCAGGATTCCAACTCAGGAGAGCATCCTCCAGGGAGCCGTGGTCATCCCGCAACAGTAGAGATAGGACCAGAAGTAGCAATGCTGGAGGAGGAGGAGAAGCCAAAAAGGGAGGAAGGAGCCAATGATACACTTCCCTAGATTGGCCCTTTGGTTATTTGAACCGTAATTATAATAGTAGAGTTCTAAATGTGAATACAGTCATGTTAGGTCTGGTGGAGGGTAAACTGGTGGCAAGAAAGTGAATAGGGGTGGAGAGTGGGAACCGAGTTGTAGCTAGGAACCAAATTGCAGCTAGGAACTGTTCCCTAGTGGGAACATACGTGGTAAAAGTTCCTAGTAACCTTTAACTGACCTAGAGCTCATTACCATCTAATTAGCATGGCATGGGTAGAGCTTCGTGAAGGATTCTGGGGAAGATCCACCCACAGAAAGGGAAACTGTTACAGAACCAACCTGTTATGTAACTTGTTATATAACCTGTTATATAATCGCAAGCTATCAATCACCCCCAAAGGGCAGGAAATGACAACCAATCCTGCTAGGAGAAAGGCAGGACAAACTAGTGAGCTTAAAAAAAGCAGCGTGTGCTCAGACTTCGGTGTCTTCCTCCATTGGTGGAGATTGACCTGTTCCACTCTCTCCAGGATGTATTTTCGCTTTGTATAGCTAGTTTCCTTATTTACTTTCATTCTTTCATTTATGTGATAAACTATATAACATTGCTTTATGTTTGTGATCACTCTGTCATCAGCTCTGCTTGGTGTCAGTACTCATTCTTGACACTGGGAACCAGGGGACCATGGCACATCCAGACGAATCTAGTAGTCATATGTTGGATACATATGGAAAAATGTGGCACTAGGTGATTTCATTATTGTGCGAACATCAAAGAGTATACTTACACAAACCTAGATGGTATAGGCTACTACACACCTAGCCTATATGGTACAGACTATTCCTCCTAGGCTACAAACCTGTACAGCATGTTACTCTACTGAACACTGTAGATAACTGTAACCCAGTGGTAAGCATTTGTGTATCTAAACATAGGGAAGGTACAGTAAAATATGGTATTATAATCTTATGGGACCACCATTGGCTATTCAGTCCATCATTGACTGAAACATCATTATGTGGCCATGACTGTACATAAGTGGGATTGTGTTCAAATTAACCTCTTCTTGAGAGACGATTCCAAGACAATGCCGTTCTATACACATTATGCTATATGTGGTCCTAAGAAGAGCCAGTTGTTTCCTGTGTGCTTTTTCCGAGACTCAATCCACATTAACTGTACCCACTGAAAATTTTTTCACACCTACAAAATAAGATGGAAAACAAGTTGGCACATTTTATCTTTATGTTGTTAACATCTAGAGGGATATTAAAGTGAACAAATGACCAAAAATTGGATTTGAATTTGTAAAAGAAAATAATTGATACTTACCTGGTTTTCTGCTGAATTCTTTGGGTTAGCCCCTACAAATACAACTTCAGCAACTTCTCCCTGAAAATAAAAACTTACTTGATGACTTTTAATAAAATGATTTTTCCTGTATTCATATTTGGGGCATTATCTACTGCACATTCTAGGACTCAGGGTGCCTGTATCGATTCTATTCTACTTAATCAGTAAATTATCTTCTATGAAGATAATCTTCATAATCTTCATACCTTCTATGATGATAATTCATAGAAGATAATTCATATTAAAGAGACTAACCCTTACAATAATAGACACAAGAAGTGTCTATTACTGTGGAATTTTTGGCCAATGAATTTGCTTTTGGTAGACCCAGATAGAGACAAAGACCTAGAGCTATAGTTCCTATTAGTGACAGCACATTAAAAGGGCTTCTTCAACCCTTGTTATTTTTTTACACCTTTCTCCCACACAAATACGGGGAATTGACTAAGTCAAATAAGAACAGTCAAAACATCCTTTGGATGACTTACACTTACATTACATTTACATTTATAGTTAAACTTATATTTATATAAGATGGAGTGACACCAACCAGACTGAAATACCTCATAATTCAAAAGGATTTTACTTCAGTATGTGTTTGGGGTTGGGGAGGGGCGGTGCTAGGGGAAACAGGGAAGGGACTTGCCCAAGACAAAAAGCTGCTCTGGCCCTGCCTAAAAAGCTTAGTAATAGGTAAAACAATAGATAAAAACAATGAAACTAAGAGCTAGTTCTTTGGAGGTACAAATTACCAAAATCAGGAGGAAAGAAGAAGCATCACTATCGACCCCACAGAAATTAAAAGAATTATGAGGAAATATTAATATCATGAACAACAAAAGAACAAATTTTATATTATACCAAGAAATTAAATAACTTAGATGAAATGGGAAAATTCTTAGAAAGATGTAAATTCCTAGAAAAATACAGATTCCTAAAAAGACAAGGTAAATTCCTGGAAAGACACATAATTGACTCAAGGAAAAAAAAATAGAAAATCTGAATAGATCTATAACAAGTAAAGAAACTGAATTAGGAATTGAAATTTTTACCATAAAGAAAAGCCCAGGTCCATATGGCTTTGCTGGTAAGCCCAATTAAATACTTAAAGAAGAAATAATACCAATCTTTTGCATACTTTTTCAAAAAATACAGAAGGAAGCATTGTCCAATTCATTCTTTGAGACTAGTATTATCCTGATACCAAAGGCAAACAAAGACAACACATGAAAAGAAAACTACAAGTATCCCACATGGAGATAAGTATAAAACTCTCTAGCAATATATTAACATACATGTAAAAAGTACTATATGCCAAAAAAAAAAGTACTATATGCCATGACTAAAGGGCATTTAACAACTGAAAATCAATTAATGCAAAATACCATATTAAAAGAATAAAAGACAAAACTACATGACCAGTTCAGTAGACATAAAAACCACTTGCCAAAATTCAACACTCATTCCTGACAAAACTCTCAACAAACTAGGCATAGAAGGGAAATTTCTCAGCATGATAAAGGGCATCTACAAAATCCTAAAGAAAACATCATATTAAAGGATGAAAAACTGAATACTTTTCTCCTAAGATCAGAAACAAGATGAGGAAATTCAGTCTCACAACTTCTATTCAACACTGTGTTGAATCTTGAGCAAAAAGAGGCATCACATCACCTGACTTTAAAATATACTACAAAGCTATAGTGACTAAAACAGTATAGTGCTGGCATTAAAAACAGACATATAGACCAATGGAATAGAAGAGAGAGCCCAGAAATAAACCCATGCATTTATGGCCACTTGATTGTTGACAATGGTGCCAAGAACACACAGTGGGGAAAGGACAGTCTCTTCAATAAATGATGCTGGGAAAACTGGATATCCACATGCTGAGAAGCAAAAGTATACTCCTATCTCACACCATATACAAAAATCAAATCAAAATGGATTATAGACTTAAGCATAATACCCGAAACTATAAAACTACTAGAAGAATACACAGGGTGAAAGCTCCATGACATTGGTCTGAGTAATGATTGTTTTAATGTGACCTTAAAAGCATAAGCAACAAAAGTGAAAATAGAAAAATGGGATTATATCAAACTAAAAATCTTCTGAAGAGCAAAGGAAACAATCAACAAAATGAAAAGGCAGCCTATGGAATGGGAGAACATGTTTGCAAAGAAAATATTTTGATAAGGGGTTAATATCCAAAGTAAATAAGAAACTCAAACAACTCAATAGCAAGAAAACAACCTAATTAAAAAAATGGGCAAAAGACCTGAATAAACATTTCTCAAAATAAGAAATGTAAATAGCCAACAGATATATGAAAAAATGTTCAACATCACTAATCATCAGAGAAATGCAAATTAAAATCATAATTATTTATTACCTCACACTTGTTTGAATGGCTATTATCAAAAAGACAAGATATAAATATCGGCAAGGATGTGGAGAAAAGGTAACTCTTTGCATACTGTTGGTGGGAATGTAAATTAGTACAGGCATTAGGTAAAACAGTAAGGGGGTTCCTCAAAAAATTAAAAATAGAACTACCATATGATACAACAATATCACTTCTGGGTATATATCCAAAGGAAATGAAATCAATGAGTCAAAGAAATATCTGCACTCCCATGTTCATGCATTATTCACAATAGCCAAGATACGTAATCGATCTAAGTGTCTATCAATGGATGAATGCATTAAAAAAATATATACACTATGGAATACCATTCAGCCTTTAAAAAGAAGGGAATCCTATTATTTGGGACAACATGGATGAACCTGGAGGACATTATGCTTAGTGAAATAAGCCAAGTACAGAAAGACAAATACTGTATGATCTTACTTATATATGGAATCTTAAAAAGCTGAACTTAATAGAAGTAGAGCAAAGTGTCGGTAACCAAGGACTGGGAGGTTGTGGGGTTAAGGAGATGTTGGTCAAAGGATATAAAGTTTCAATTAGATAGAATTAATAAGCTCAGAAGTTCTATTGTCCAACATAGTAACTATAGCTAATAAGAATGTAGTATATTTTGAAAATGGCTAAGCGAGTAAATTTTAAGTGTTCTCAACACAAAAAAATGATAAGTATGTGAAGTGATCATAAGTGTGTGTGAAATGGCTTTATTCCATATTTATATGTATTTATACATACATGATAGGTATGTGTGGAATGGCCATTTCACATTTATACATATGTATACATACATATACATACATACATTTATAAATGTATTACATGCTTTTATATATATTTATACATATTTCAAAACAGCACATTGTACAAAATAAATATATACAATTTTTATCAATTCAAAAAACTAAATTAAATTTTTAAAAACCAAAACATTCTATTGGATATTCTAGCCATTTCAATAAGAAAAAAGAAAAATTAAAGATATCCAGAAAGAAATAAATAAGAACTTATTTTTATCTGCAGATGATATACTATATGTAGAAATTATTAAGGAATCCATACCAAAAAAAAAAGTATTGGAACTAAGAAATGTTTTAGGAATGTAGAAGGACACAAGATTGATATAAAACAATAATGGTACAAATCCTGCTTCATTCTGTATTATATGCTTTTCCTAACCTTGATTTAAGAGACAACTTAGCTCCAGTGAATGGTTCCATGACCAGCCATTTAAGAAAAGGAATAATTTGGATTTTAGAAGTTCAAATTTATACATTTACCCCCAGAAAAATAATTATTTTCCCATTCTCATTACTTTTGCAGAGTTCTTCAGGGATAAGAACAATTAATTATCAACATTATCATTGTTAATAGCTGGTTTATGGCATGATTAGAGGTAGATTTAACAACATCCTTCCCCTCATCCCCCAAAAGAGGCCTCTAAAGGATTCAGAGATCTCTGTGAGTCTTACCACTCTGTATTCAGGTTTTGCTGGCTGCAGAATATCCCCAAAAGTTCTGCCTATTGGTGCTGTATCCACAATATTAGGAATTAATGGAGATATTAGTTGTTTGAAAAATGGGGGCTCTGGACCTCTGCTCAGGTTGGCTACTGTGTCCTGGAACAGAAAACATTTGCTTAAGGAGTGCACACACAGAGTCAAAGAGCCTTTCCCCAGGCCTCCACCCGCACAAATGCCTTTATTGAAGGAAGCGTGTGCATACACACATACACACGCACGCTCCAAAAGCTAATAACCTTTAACCAAATATGAGGGCCACCTTGCTAAAATGTGAGCCTAGAGATCCATAATTTAAACTTTTGTCATTAGCAGAAAGTTTTGGTTATAGGCAACCCTACATTCCCCTAGGCAGTGGGGTTCAGTGATCCCAGTGCAAGTTGGGAGCACACTGCTCAGGTTTAGATTCTGGGACAGAGAACTGTGTGACTTTGGACAGGGGCCTAACACATGATAAGCAAGTTTTTATAACATGACACTGATTATTCTTTTAATTTTCAAAAAGTATTGAGCTTCTTTCACCCAAACTCAATACCAAGTTTTTTCTTGCATCCTTGTCTGTGCTAATAAAAGAATAAATACATTTTTAATTTAAAAAATTTAAGATCAGCCCACATCCTGACTGGTTTAATCTACGTTTTCCACAAAATGTACCATTTTAATAGTGCCATCAAAATGCAAATCTCAATTTTTAAATAGCCTATGATATATAATGTTCTTTAATCCTCACATTATATATTTAATTTTTACAGCAGCATATGAGATAGGTATACATTACCATTCCCATTTTACAAATGAGAAAATAGGCTAGGAGATAATGGGTTTTTTAAGATCACATAGCTAGTCTTAAGGTGTACAACCATAAAGTTTACTGTGAAACAAATTTCTGCAAAATGAATGCATTTTTCATCACTGAATATCACTATAAAATTTGAAGAATCTATTTTTGTGGGAAGAACTATAGACCTATGACTGAAAGGAAATTTAAACAGTGGCTATCTCTAGGGATGGGTTATAGGTTTACACTTTTCTGTGCAATCTGAATATCATATAAGTAGGTTTAGCTTTCATGATATAAATAAATAAAAATAGTTCTACTTTGGAAAAAAATAGCAAACCTAAAATGGACATTAAGATAAAAAGGAAATCAAGTAATTAAGATACATGCAAAATAAATACATTGTACTGAAATTTCAAACACACAATCAGCAACTAATGATGGAGACATATGAAATTGCCAATATTCAACTGATTTGACCTACAGAAACAATGATTTCATATGTTTCAATTTAATATATCCAAGCTCTTTCTTTAAAAGAGCTTTATTGTCTTTGCTATGCCATAATTGTTTTACAGCTTTTATTGAGGCTTATATGTTATTATATAAGGGTCTGTTTACTATTTTAAGCTCTTTATCCTATTTGTTGACTGATCTTCTGACATCACAATTATAACTCTATAAATAACTACATCCCAAAAGATTTCTACAAGTGAAATTGATTTAAATTAAGTAAACTTGTTCAGCTGTATGTATTTTAGGTAGATGCAATGTGTGCATTCCAAGGCACTGCTGTATTTCATCAAATCTAAACCCCCATTGATTATAATAACTTATATTTTTTGAACCATCAAAAAAGTAAAAACATGCTACAAAACATAATCATAAGATTCCTCTGATTAAAAAATACATCCCAACTTCACAGATATTGTAATGTGAAAAATAGGCCTTTCAGAAGTGATGACCTACTCAACTCTCAGAGGGGAGAAAATCTGGCAAAGATTAGAGAACACTGGCCCAACTCTCAGCTACAGTTATTGTTATAGCTATCATTATAATTAGCTTGATCGTTTATCTCCAAGCCTACTTGCTCATCTGAAAAATGGAGGAAAATGAGATCTCTTTACTTCACGTGATAGTTGTAAGGATCATGAGATGCCCTATATGAAAAAAGCTGCCACTATTAAAGGACATTAACTAAATCTGAATTTTACTACCAGTAAAATTTCATTTCTTTTCTTAGAGACACCACATTGCTATAACTTTTTAAAATATAAAGGTTGTCAAAGAAACTGAACACTCAAAGCTAAGGTTCTCTCTCGCTTCTCCATACATCTCCTCACCCTCACCAACCCCCACACACACACACACGCACACACAGACACACACTATTAGATTACCGTAGCAATGGCCTTAGCAAGGCCTCTGAAGAGCTGGATGTAGGCAGACAGAGTGTGTGGCCCATAAATTGTAGATGCTGCCTCGTATCGTTGCACCTGCAGGAGAGAGAGGGGAAGTTGTACACAGTTCTGCACATTTCTATCCGTTTACAGAGGTGTAGCATTTTAGGTGAGGGTGATGCTGGAACATCTCACATAATTCAAAACTGGAAGAATCTTCAAGATTGTTTATGACAAAAAAGGATGGGCATTTCCATTTACCAGCCAAAGTAAATGGCTCCCATCAACTACTTGTTAAAGGCACTGGATTCTCTTTGCTTATGCTATTTAGACTGTCACTCCATTTAATCTGAAAGAGAGTGCAAGCTCCTGAGCTTTGGTCAATTGCAAGTATTTGCAATATTAATGTTTCCCCCCAGGGAATGCATCAGGAGAAAAATCAAAGAAAAAAAGTCCTAGGTACTCTTGGACAAATTGCATGCTGATGGTACTAACTGGAGAAGGACACTTAATCCATCATGGAGCCGTGAAAGAGAGCCAAATGCATCTCCTTTCACCTGGCCTCCAAGTTTCTGGTTGTTCCACAGAAACCCTGAAGTCATCTAATCTAGAACAGACCTCATCGCTCATTACAGACGTACCAGCTTCCCCTCCAACATTCTTCACCTCAGTGAGTAACTGAGGTCTCCCATGTGAGGATCATCTGGCAGTTACCTTAGACTCCTGCCTCTCTCTACATCCTGTAAGTCTCCAAATCTGGCAGTCCTACCTCCCTAAAATCTGTTGAGTTCTTCCATTTTCCTGTCTCTACTGCTTTTACTTTATTCAAACCCTGATCTCTCACCCAGATCTTAACTACATCTTCTTAATCAACTCTCTACCTCTACACATTCCCTTCCAATTCATTTTCTGCACTGCTATCCTATTGTCCTTTCTAAATCATAAATTTGATCAAAGCACTCTCTTGCTTTGAGTCCTACTGCAGTTCCCCAAAGCCTTCCTTATTGAGTCAAAGCCCTGTAGCATAGCTTATAAGACTCCATCAACTAACCCCTGCCTGCCACCCTAGCCCCGTCACATTAGCATCACCCTCAACATACTTACTCAATGGCACTCAACTAGTTATGGTCCATTGATGTGCTGAGTCTGCCCCTCCAGACCTTTGCATATGTAGCTCGCTCTATATGGAACATCTTAATTTTTATTTGCCTAACCCTCACTTATTCTCAAGAACTCAGACAGATGTTACATCATCTTGAACAGTCCCATTCCTCAAATACCCACTCCTCACTGGTGTTCTTTCTCCTTATTTTTCTGTCACCTTGTGCATGCCTTTCATGGAAATGTAATCATTTGCTTTCCTCTGTCTTTGTACTAGACCATGAACTTCCAGTGGTCTTGAGAACAAGGACAGATTCTTTTCATTGTTATGTCTCAGAAAGTGGCTAGTACAGTATCTGTCACAACACATATCTGTTAAATGAGCAAATTGGTTAATTAATAGTAATCCTTGCGGAAGCATATCCCTCACCCAGGAGACAAGATAATAGTGGTTCTTAAGCTTGTTTGTGTCATGGACTTCTTTGGCAGTCTGTTGATACCAAAGGACCTCTCTCAGAATAATGTTTCTAAATGCATAAAATAAAATACATGGGATTGACAAAGGAAATGAATTAGATTGAAACACATTTACCAAACTATAATAAACCAATTTTGTGATATAGTAATTTATACGCTTCTTTATTATGCTGTTGCATAGCAAGATCTAGCTGCACATCTAATAAGTACTGTGATTTTAAAATAGTGATAAGAATAAAAGATATTTCCAGATCTGCAACTGTATGTGATATGAAAATATCTAGTTCCTATTGGTGACAGTCAGAGGCACTGCTAATATTTTTTGTTTGTTGTTTCCTCCATTTACAATTGGAGGAAATGCTAAAGATAGAGAATAGTGGGAAAGGATGTAATTATTCCTATCCAAGTTCACCGGTTAAGACCTTATTCAACAGGATTTCCTAGAAGACAGGGACCTTCAGTAAAGCCAACAGAGGGCAGCAAGGCAGTTTCCACTCTTGGTATCACTGAATATTTGCCAAGGGGTAGACTGCATGCCTCTCTATGGACTGACACGATATACTGACAGATATTTAGAAGTCATTAATTGTGGAACTATAAACTATTTTAATATTTATAACTACTATGGTTAATAAGTACTTGGGCTGCTTTTTGGAACTATTTATAAGCAAGGAAACATTACCAGCCACCATCCTCCTCCAGGCTCTCTTGGACTCTGTTTCTTAATATATGTCATGAATATAATAATATCCTACTTCAGGACATACTGTGAGGATTACTTAAGATTGCACTTGCAAAGTGCTTAACTAGTGCATTCAATAAATAGCAGCTATCAGTAGGAGTTTTCCCAGGTTCTTCAGAGGCTTAAGGCAACGGATGCATTATGAATAGAGTTAGGAATGTTGTATGGCACAAACCAGGCTTATTATCAGTGCCCCTGACAAAATAATCGATTTCAGGGAAAGAGGAAATCAGTGAGACTAGAATTCTGACCTGAACTTGGAAATAAAAAACTTGAAAGTCCCACATGACAAATGATGAGCTTCTGACTTAGCATTCTCTTATCTGCCCTACCTAAATACAAAGTAGTCTCTCAGAAACAAGTTTGGGGAAGTTTAGAAAGAAAGAGGATTTAACACAATAGTCTTGATCAGGGTATAATTCATTTAAGTGATGAGAACTTTTTACTTTACCTGGTATTCTTCGTAAGTGGCAATGTAATGAGTATAGACATTGCATAGACCCGAAATAACAACAGTCATATTCTGCATCCCATAAAATGAAAATTCCTAGGAGGGAAAAGTAAAGCCCAATAAAATTACTCTTCATCTTAGAGTATATTATTATCCCCAGTTATATTTAACACACAATCATTAATGTGAATTATTACTGTAAGATGTCTCTTTTAACAAAATTCTTCCTCATGATTAAAACTTCCTGGGAATGCAGAGGTATCAAAAGAGTCCTTGATGAAAAGTTAGAGCCATAACTCTGCTTTAGAGTTGGATAAATCAATGGATATGTGAAAATCTTAATGATCACATTTGCAGGTGTAGAATCTTCCTTTTGCTAAAATAGAAATTTTTTAAATCAATTTCCTAAAAAATATAATGGGTAGATATTAGCTAACCAGAATAATTATTTTCAGCTCCAGGTAACAAGACATTTGTTGTGCCATTTTAGAACCATTACAATTCTTCTTGAATGTAAAAATAATCATAAATACAGTATAGATAAAATACAGAATTCCCCAAATGTGATACATTTTATTTAGACTGTTCACAGGAATTTAAGATATTAAGGTACGTAGCAGTTATTTACTATTGAGTCTATAAGACTATTATCATTTCAAATTATTAATACATAAATATCAATAAAATATTTTAACATAATGGTAGTTCCCTTATAATTTTTAAGTTTGGTTCTTCTACCACCAATATTTCATATTCACCTCTAGCCAATAATTTCAAGAAGTGTGGAACTTTAGTCATCTTAAGAAGGATTAATTTAAAAGATAACAGATCACAGAGATAAGGAATTCTTTCTTCTGTACAAATATGAATGTGTAGATATTTTATTTCATTTTTAACTTACTGCTTGAACTGCCTCTCGAAGTCTCCGTCCAGACATGGTCCTGAGTCAAGAAGACAGAATTGAGTAAATGTTTCCCTATTCGGAATGTGTGCAATGATACAGAAAGACTTGCAGTGAAAGTCAAAAAGTCGCCCTGGCTCATCACATGATAGTAAAACACGTAAGAATTCAATGATGATGCAGAGATAAACTTGAGCCTTTTTCCCTGACTATCCTATCTTTAAAAAAAATTCTAAACTGAAAACAGTCCATTTGACCAAAGGAGGGAAATACAATCAATGAACATCATTGGCAAAAGATCACCATCATTTCCCATTCTTGAGTCAACAAAATATATCAGTTGCGTCCTATGTTATTATAATAAGAGCTGAGGCAGGTAGAAAGTATACTACTGTTTCTGCCTATGAAGAACTTACCATTTCTTTCATTCACTGAATCCTTCAATAAAACACTGAGCATCTACTATATACCAGGCCCACTTCTAGGTGCTAAGGATTCAGCAGTACGGAGCTTACATTCTAGGGAAGGGAGATGGTCAATGAGCAAATAAAAAAGTGAGATGACAATAAGCGCTATGGAGAATAGTCCAGCAGGGGAAGGATGAAAGTGAGTGGTGGTGGCCACTGTGGTGATGATGGTGGTAAGGCAGGTGCTGGTGTGGTGGCGGTGGTGGTAGGGGTAGGTGGTGGCAGTGGTAGTGGTAGCTCAAGACTATTTTACACAGTGTGAGCAGGACTGGCACTCCTGTTAGAGATTTGAGCAAAGAACTGAAGGAAAAAAAGACTTGGCCGTGGGGATAACTGGAGGGAAAGTGTTCTAGGCAGAAGGAATCATAAGCTCAAAGGCTCTGCGACAAGAGCATCCCTGATGAGTTTGGGAAGTAAAGTGAAATCAAGGTGGCTGGAGCAGAGGTGAGCAAACCAGAGTGTGTAGGAGCTTGTAGGTTTAGGATTTACCTGGAATGAGATGGGAAGTTATTGGACAGTTTTGAGCAGAGCAGTGTCATGATTTAATTTATGTTTTAAAAGGTTTAATCTGGCTGCTATGCTGAAAAAAGACTGTAGAGGAGTAAGGGTGGAATTAAGTAGACCAGATAGGAGGTTATTGCAATAATCTGGCGAGAGATCATGGTAGCTTAGACCAGGGGAGAAGTGACAGAAAATCTTGGGTGCAATATACAAAATTTGCTGAAGGGATGAAAGAGGAAAAAATAGAGAATTTAGGGATGACTCCAAGACATAGAGCCTGATCAGGTGGAAAGATATAAAATTGCCACTTACTGAGATAGGAAAGACTACATAACAAGCAGGTTTAAAACATTCTTCCATGATTTTAATACCTAAATTGATTGTTTCAAGTACCTTCATTTTAATATTATTTCAAGTCTTTCTACTAATATAATAATTCATGGCATCATTTTCATTTGGAATATGTTTTTAAATTTTCACGTTTGCTTCGAGTTAGCCACCAGTAATAGGCAAATGAAGATGTATTCTTCAGAGGCCCCAACAAAAGAGGGTCCGTATATTTGTCGCTGTTTCCAAATAGTTCAGTAGGATACCAAAAGATCAGTAAAGAATTATCTTCCATGATAAGAAACAATTCCAATGGAAATGTACACAAAATAAACACACTTTTAACTAAGAAATAAAAAGAAGAACTTACGTAAGCTCCCCAGGGATAGCACTTATGGCCAAGGACCCAAGGGTAATAATCTGAACATCAACTATATCTGGATGCCAGGGGTGAGGTTTTGATAGCTAAGAACCCAAAACAAAAAAAAAAATGGTGTTAGGAATGTTATTCTTTTTATGAGGAACAGACAGATGATGGTCACAGAAACTCCTTTATTAAAGCATTTGAAATGTCTCAAGCTGATTTTGGTTTTTTCCTATTATAGGATTTATTTCTAATTTATGATGTAGTATTAAACATTCTGTATGGGTATTTACATCCTGGTCATAACATGTGAATCTCAAATGTCAATGGCCCGTTAACCTGGACTGATTAATGAAGTTTTTGGTGGATTTGTCATTATGGAATCACAATGTGTAGCAGATAACCAAGGGTTCACCTAAAGTATTATCAGTGACTATCCTTGTATAAGATAAATAAGGAATTCCATTTGGAACAGTTTAACTTAATGATTTCTCTTTTTACTCTACTAGCACTTTAAGTTTACAAGTTTACAAGTTTCCAAAACATAGGGCCTGATCAGCTGGAAAGATATAAAATTGCTGCTTACTGAGATAGGAAAGACTACATAACAAGCAGATTTAAAATATTCTTCCATGATTTTAATACCTAAATTGATTGTTTCAAGTACCTCCATTTAAATATTATTTTAAGTCTTTCTACTGACATAATAATTCATAGCATCATTTTCATTTGGAATATGTTTTCAAATTTTCATGTTTGCTTCGAGTTAGCCACCAGTCCCAAGTCTTGCCTTATTTTCCAGGTTTCTCTAAGAGAATCTACCCTTTTCCATATTCAGATTAGTGTAGAGTCTATCCCTCCATTCCTTCTTTTCCTCTCTTTTTTCCAAGAATTTTAATAGAATATTGGAAAAAATACATTTTTAAAATGTTTCTATTTCAATAATCAATTTTTATGAATACTGGAATGATATTTTAACATTCAGAATGTGAAAATATATGTTCCAAAAGAGTGTTAAAAGAAAATTGTTTTAGTTAATAATGTTGCCTGAATTGTGACAAAATTGGAACATGAACATGTTTCTTTTTATATGGTCTGAGATGTTTTCCTCTGTGGAGAATTCTATGTGGACTCCCTTCCTGGAACCAACACAAATGAATTCCAAATAAGAAAAATGTTAATCTTATTCTTCTTTTCCCATTATTCTAATTGTTTCATTTATTCATCATAAATGCTATAAGGGAAATCAATATATTTACTAATCATAACCCTTACTTCTTAGAGTTAGACTTATAGCATCCATATTTTTAATATTAAAAATTTGATTTGAAAATATCTAAATAAAACCTCTTATCTCAGTAGATATCTACTGTTCATTACCTGACAGTTTACAAATTTAAAAATAACATTATGCTAATTTCACTATGATAATGAAAATGTATCACCTCTCCAGTGTGAAGGAGGATTGGCTTTGGCTTATGACATTCTTTGATTTCTTCAGATGGCTTGCCCAGGAGCTGGTCCCGAATGGTGTCCCAAAATGGATCCCCTTCTGTTGTCCCTATTAGGAATGTTATGATTAACATAATTCCCTGAAACAAGTCATTACTCTGATAAATATTGTACAATAATCCTTCTAGGAGTTTCGTATATTTTATCAAGGTTGTTGTTCAATGATTCCAAACAGTTTGAATACTATTAATACAAGAGACAGAATATCCTGTACATCATAAAATAAGAGCCACTATTTAATTAGATCCTCAGTGTGTTCAAGAGAATAACAGAAGATATTTTAATCAATATCCTTAAAGTTTTGTTTCTATTACTCTTGTTCATCCATGTTGCAAATAAAAACAATCTGACATAATTAACTGTAGATTTATAAACTAAATCACACATTTCCTGTTTTGAAAATTAAAAGTAACACCTCCAACTCACAATACTAGTTGTCTGACTTGTGGTCCCTGAAAGAACTTCTCCTGAATCCTTATTTAATTATCCACACACACACACACACACATACACACACACACCCCACAAGCAGTGAAAACCAAAAACCAAACCTAAAATGCATAATATGGGGGAAAAGTTTTGTTAACTATAAAATCTATGAAATTGAGAATCTATACTCCATCAGGAAAATATAACAATTATAAACGTCTACATACCTAATAACAGAATATCAAATACATGAGCTAAAACTGACAGAAACAAAGAGAGAAATAGAGAATTCAACAATAATAGTGGAACTTTCAATAACTCATTTTCACTAATGGATAGAACAACTAGGCAGAAGACCAACAGGGAAATAGAAAACTTGAACAACACTAGAAACCAACTAGACCTAATAGACAACCTATAGAATACTCCATCCAACAAAAGACTATACATTCTTCTCAAGTGTACATGGAACATTATCTTGAATATACCATGTGCTGGTTATAAAACAAACCTTGATAAATTTTAAAGGGTAGAAATAATACAAAGTATGTTTTCAACTATAATGAAATGAAATAATAAATAAGTAACATGAAAAAAATTGGGGAAACTCACAAATATGTAAAATTAAGTAACATGATTCTAAATAGCTAATGATCAAAGAAGCAGTCAAATGAAAATCCAAAAATACCTTATGATGAATGAAAATGAAGACCCAACATATCCAAACTTATGGGACGCAGTGACAGTGTGCTCAGTGGGAAATTTATAGCTCTATATGCCCATATTAATAAAGAAGATCTCAAACCAATAACCTAACTTCTACCTCAAGACAGTGAAAAAGAAGACCAAATAAACCTAAATCAAGCAAAAAGAAGGCAATAAAGATTATAAAAAATTAATTAAACAGAGCATGGAAAAACAATAGAGAAAATTAATTAAAACAAAAGCTGGTTCCTTCACAAAATCAACAAAATTGACAAATCTTTAACTAGATTGACCAAGAAAGGCAGAGAGAAGATTTAAATTACTGGGATCATAAATCAATATTAACTTTAAAGAA